CAAAAATATTTTCAACTAATGCATATTAAAGTATCAAACAACTTTGTAATTTAAATTACCAAAAAGCAACAAACTTGAATAAAACCAAGAGAATAATTTTGCCTACATACTTTTTTCTTGAGTGGTATTCGGCTGGACTATTAATCGAGAAAAACGAGCCAAATTTTCATTTGGAAAATTTAGTTTCTTTAGGTGACACTTGTCAGATTCGATAGTTTTTTACTTTCACCACGCAAAATTTTGTCGCTGTGTTAAAATTTTTGTAGTCAAACCTGATACACCCTGTATATAATTTACACTAGGTTGATTTTAGCAGATGTGCGTGGCGTTCGACAGAATGTGAGTTGTGCGTCGCACACTGCCCTAACAAAACCGTACCTTTAAACAGTTTCCCGACATTTTTTATCCGAATATTTTTAACTTTTCTCCGAAGTCGGGTCAAGTTAATAGTTATATTTATGCATTATTAAGCAGTAAAGTGCTTCTATCGAACGAGTCTGAGATTATGAGTCGAGCGAGCGAGGCGAGTAAGAGGCGAGTTCATTTAAGCCACTTTACTGACATGGTGCATACAAAACTTTATCGCTAACCGTAAAAATTGATAAGTGTAAAAAATGAATAATATATTATAACTTAACAAATTTTATTATAAGAGCAAACACAGAACAATTACTTATTGTTTGTTATATTGAACGTAAATGTACAAGAACACCCTGTCGTATGATAACAATTAATTCTTGAATCTTGAAGACTAAGGAGTTTCAATATGTTAACAATGCGTAAGTCCTTCTTTATTATTAGAATTATCATTGGTAACAACAATAGTAAATATTTGCGGTAGGTAAAATACCTACTTTATCTGCCGCATATTATACGGCAGGTAATATTACATACCGAGGTGGAAAGTGTTTCATTACTGTCGAGAGATTTTAGTTAGATCGAGGGTCCTAACTAGAAATCTCGAGACAGTGATGAAACTTTTGACCGAGGTATATACCTACCGGTGGCGGGCAATTTGAATTGTCTCTTGTCCCACTATACAACAGTTTTCCCTATTTATGGCGTTTTCAATCTTCGAAGAGAAAAATATTTCAATAAACCTGAACAGTCAAATATTTGTGACCATTTTTATGATCGGATGTCGGATGCATGAAAATGCCAAACATTAGAAAATGTCTGAAATAGGCCAAAAAAAAGCTGTAAGGTCAACCAATCGGGACAATTTCGTATTGTCATATCATAGATGACGGAATTCTATCAATTTTGACAGCAATGCATTTCAAATGGGGAAGTTCAAGTACCAGTCGATTTCAGCTGAACTCTGTTTTGAACCAAGATTGTATAACTGGGCCGACGGATGAGTATGCAAAATGCGAGGACCGCATTTTATCAATGGATAGAGTTGCTGAGAAAAGTTCAAAGATTAATAATCTGGTTCTTGCCGGTACTTTTTTGGTCAATTTTTTTCTGTCTCCTCTCCTTACCTACATAAAGAAAATCCATGGAGATGTGTGGGATTTTAATGAGTATCATAGTTCGAAATTATTATTATTATTATTATTATTATTATTATTATTATTATTATTATTATTATTATTATTATTATTATTATTATTATTATTTGAAAGTTTACTCTAGAGCATGGGGCTCGAATACCAGGAGTCGCGGGTTCAGAATTAACAACAAAAAAACATGAAGTAAAAAATAAATATGTAGAATAAATAATTTTCAGAAAGATTTATTAAAAAAAAAAAATTCAAAAAGAAACAGTAAATTGGTAAAAAACGAGACAAATAATAAGTACGGTGCTCTTTTCAATGTATCCGGAGTCTTAGGTATCCGGCCAATTAGTTTTTAAATTTTTAGAAAAAAAAAGGGTTACAAAAAAATACACATCCGTAAGCTAATATTTTTATATTGAATAGGTAAATTATTTGATATATTACAAGTATATTACAGTAAATTTTACACTGACTTATAAATAGTTTATAGAAAGATATATTAAAAAACTGTATAAGAATTTTTAAAACAATATAAATTATATCATCCCATTTATTATCTATACATAATTTTTTATTTACGTTGTACCTTTCACGCTTAGGCTTTCAGAAAATAATCAAAAATGTGCTAATAAATAAAATATACTCAAAGTTATTTTACTTCAAAATATTGTCTTTGTTATTTAAACCCAAAATTAAATTTTATTATTCAAGGCGCAAATGGTGGGAATTTTTGATTTACTATAGTATTTTTGAGTATCTTTTATTTATTTATTAAAAAATGAATAATAAAATATGATAATACAAAATAATAATATTCACATAAGAGAAATCTTCTGGTGGAATGCATTATTTCAAACAAAAATATTAATACACACACGATATTATATAAAAATCAACTACACAAAAATTGAGTAGGTCTCAGTCATTTTTGTTGTGTATAAATATATAAAATAATTAATAAATTAATGCAAGCTAAAAACAATAATAAAAAAAGTGTCTGTTTATAACTCACAACATTATTCAATAGGCATTTTAAAGCATTTAGCAAAATACTAAAAGAAAAAATATTAAGTACTAAGTAATTATTTTACAAAAACAGCCTAATAAAAAAATTAACACAATAAATATGAAAAAAATGTGTTGTTTTTTTACAACAAAATATACAAAATAATAATAGTGAGAAAAAACAACAAATTAAAATTATTATTGACTATTATCAACAACAAATAAGTATTTTATTAAATGATACAAGACAAAAAAGTATAGGTAGTTTTTCGTTCATCTAAACATTTCATCAAAAAATTTAAGTAGATACACAAAAGAAACTAAAAAACATCGAATTATTGCTATCGAGTTCATTTTTATTCTGGTTAAATATAATTTTTAGAACTATTATGTATAATCTTTTAGACAAACAGTCTTCATAGTTTTTTTTTTATTACAATCTACGGACAGTTAATTTTACATTTAAATTTAACTATCTAAGTTTTATTTAGTGGGCCGGGTTCTTCGTCAACCGTTAAAAAAGGCACATTGTTTTCGTATGTTGAGACTTACTCAACTCAGTATATCTACCTTTTTTAACAGTTGAATAAAAAACAAGCTATATGAAAACGTAAGTTACATTTTGAGACTTTAGGCGTTAGTGTCAAAAAAATAATTGTTTTTCCTTAGGGCCATTTCAAGGTTCTGATGTAAGTTTGTTTTGGCAAAATTAGGTTAATGGGTGTATATAAAAATGATACAACTTTGGGGGTCGAGGTTGGTTCGCAGCTGCACTACAAGAAGTAACTGATGACCATAGTGTGGCATAGAGTACTTGAGCCGGTAAAGCCGTTCGAGAGTCGGGATAGCAGCCCTTGGCGCTGGGCCCAGCAGTTGATATCAGGTAAGCGTACCACAGGCTGCTACATGGCCAACCAAGCAATCTCGACCAATATAGAGATCAAACAATACTATCGGAGAGGTTACCAGGTATGAACCATGCAAAATACTTTGTACCCACCACAAAAAGGAAAAAAGTGGTAGAAGTACTTCTGAGAATGGGCAGGAAAAGCCTCAAAGCCTTGGTGGGTCTATACAATGCAGAATTTGGCATCTCATGCTGACTGTATGGCCTATGCGTCGAAGAGGACGAAACTTCAGAACATGTCCAATATCCAGAATCGGGCATGCTGTATTCGGGGAGTCAGCTGATTGAATTGAATACATAAGACACGCTCATTTTCACCTTCATCAGATGGGGCAAATATAAACTCGGAGTGAGTCACAATAGACCGCAGTGGAAGGGCATCCTTTAAAATAAGCCAAATTGACATTTTTTATAGTTATTTAAATTTTGCCAAATTAAACTAAAACCTTTGTATTATTCTATTGATAAATTTCGATTCTTTGTTTTTCTTTGTAGAGATTAATACCTGGAAATTCGTTATATTATGTTTTATTTACAACACATAAATATTTCTTAAAGAGTTTGATTATAGCCATATAAAATTTGTTTGAGAATAAATAGATAGTACGTATTTGAATTGTTTCTAAGAGATTTGTTCCATAACAAGAATCCAAATCCTTGAAGAACTGGGATGTTTGTTAAATTTATCTCAAGTCAGATGGAAATATTGACCTTATGGAACAAAATATTAATAATGGCCAATAATGGTGTGCAAACAAAAATTCGAATATCTTCCAATAAAACATCTGCTATAAACATCTTATGTATTAACTTGATATGTGAAAAAATAACGCTTTTTTATTTATGCATTTTTATCAATTATAGGTATACAACTACTTACTTTTGGTGTTTCGCCTTATATGTTACTTTGTGACAAGAAAAATGGGGGAAATCAATTGGGAAAATTTGAACGGAAATGTTATATGTATATTATGTAGAAACGATTTCTTTATCAACAGTTAATTGTTGATCAAAAAAGCATTTCTTATAAGAGTTTTGTATGTAAGTATCTTATATCATCAATCAAAATTGATTTTTGATGAAATAATAATCAATATTGATTAATTTGATGAATATGAGAGTGTTTTTAGTTTTTTAAACAGAAAAATTAGGAAGTTCTTATAACATAAATTGGACGGTAGGCTTAGTTAAGCAAATTTTAGATAATCTATTTGAGTGGTCTAAATATTTATTAGCTATTGTTTAAAAAACACTCTGATATTACAAAATGTACCTAAAATCTATGACAGTTATATGGGACAAGCATTTTTATTTATATAAAAAACCTAAAATTATTACATCACAAAATCGTAGCTTATTAATCGGTCCAAAGATTATTAGGATCGTTTTTTTGTTAAATAAATAAAAGCTTATAAGATGCCGCAATAGTTACAAAAATTAATTTTCATCCTAAAATCACTGTGTAATATATTACTACAAGAAAGTCCTTGTCTTTTTACACGAAAAAAATAACAAATTTTTATACCACAAATACTTATTATTTTAAGGCTAAAATTTGACACAAATGAGATTTATTTATTAGAGTTCTAAACCAAAAATCCTTCATTACCATTGACACGTATTTGCGCCCGTATATTCTGTACACTGTTCATTATTTTCTTCTGATGTCCCACCAAAGTTATACCAAGTTCCGTCAATTCTTTGACGGTTAAATTTACTACGGCGTCCATCGAATTGACACCGCCTAGGTGGAAATTCTCCAGGTATCTGGTCATTTTTATTGAATTGAGCCACTCTTCCACGGATGTGAATTGAGTTAGGTCGGGCGCGTCAGCTGATAAGGGATTAGTGGAACTGCAAAATTGATTAATCATATTGTAATGAAGATTTTTACAAAAAAAATTATTTAGGTAAGTATATACTAAATATAAATAAGGCACTGAAACGAAATAGCGATATGACGTACAAAATAGAGGAAAAGAAAGCAAATTCTATTGATAAAAAAGAAGCAACTGTTACAAGATTTAGGATTTAAGTATTTCGCTTACAATTGTGATATAGAGGAGCAATAATTAAGTCGTCCATTCAAACTTGGGAATGGATTGCTGGGGTGCTCTGATACCTTTTTTACAGACTAATATTGAACTTACCACATAAAGATAATGCAATGTTGGTAAAAAGGGACATAGTTTTATTAACACAGTGTGTCATTGTAACCAAATATTGTTTTAACAAAGAGTAGTCAGAATGGGAAACTCTAATATTGCTCTTCTCTAATGCTTCACAACTCGCTATTCCGAATGTATTTCCTCTTTTCAAGGCCTCGGTAAGAAATTTGAAATTATAACATAACATCACAACTACATAAATGTTATTTTTCAGCATTCTAGAAAAGTTTACTTAGGCTCGGCTTATTCACCTTCCGGTAAACTGACAGTTATGCAATATGACAGATAACTAGGTTGGCAAATTTTTCTTGTACAGGGTGCTCCAACAAGGACTTATTTTTAATTTTTGACCTTCTCTGTATTTTTTGATAAAATTCAAAATAGCCAATAATAATATTTTTTTTTTCTGAAGAATTCAAAAATGGAACCAAAAAAATCATTCAAACCAAAAACCAAAAAGTTATGCTATGGATGAACTGTTTTTTTTTTAATGGAACAAACTGTCTTTGTATGATTTTTGGAAAAGTCGCATTTTCCTATGTCTATTCTGTTGTATATTGTGACGGATTCCGAGTTCACTAAAACTCACTCCATAGTAACAACTTATATCAAACTAATTGACTTAAAACTTACTTCTTGCGCTATTTATAGCGGGATTTATCTAAAAAAACACGGCTTCTCCGAATTGTTTATGTGCAAACAATTTCATTCTTAGAATCCGGCCGGACTCCCGAGACAATTTCGTCACACTGCCACCCCTCTCAGATCGGATTGACTCGATTTGAGTACAAAGAGGCACGCATACCACCTCCTCTTCCTCGTCTATATCTCCACTTAGATTCATTATAATGATTTAATCTTGCCTAATATCTCTATGCCAGTCTAAGTGGACTGCGACCTTAACGCAGCGCCTTAGGCCGCTTGGCCTTCCTGACTTTCCAGATCTACCCTCATAGGCCTCATATAAGCATGACTCTTCTTCCCTTGGATTGACATCATGTATACTAGACGAATGGCGACCTGGGCCTGTTCCCTTTCATGGCTAGTCGCAGGATAGCTTTGAGCTTCTGGATGAGCGTCAGTCGTAATCGACCAATCTTCTTCTTTCTTCGCTTGCCGGATTTTTCTTTTCTACATTTCATTGATCATTCCCCGGCTTCCTTAATTTTGTCTTGATCTGGGCATGCTCGGCTTTGCAAGTTCACAACCGAAATACGTAGCTAGATCTCAGTTTTACTCTAGAGTCAGGTTTGAAATGTCCTTTTCTTCCGCAGCGGTAGCGCTCGGATTTCTTGTTCAAGTTACCCATTGAAAGCTGAGAGTCATTAAAAGGAAAGCGAGATCTCAAACCTACTCTACAATCACGCTTGAAAACTCCTACTGTCTCAGCGGCAATACTTAATGCTCCTTAATAAGTTTTCCAGATTGATTCTGATAACTGCCATCCGTAATTCTTCCAGAAATTCCTTGATAATGGTGTCGTTTTCTTTTTTCTTATTGGCTCTTTTTCTTCACGAATCGACACAGCTCTAATCTCTGCTTCGGAAATCTTATAGGCCGCCTCGATTTTTGAGGCCTTGATAAAACCTTCACTGCTATTTGCTGGTTGGAGTATGAGCAGCATTCTCTGTAAATCCATATCTCTAATTCATTATAAAAAATTTGAGTCACTAGTTGTTCTCGCATTTCTGGTGCTGGCTTCTGGGTAAACCAAAGCAACCAGCAAATGTGCTAGGGGAGTTCTGGCGCAATTTCATCCATTTCCCATGTAAATCCCCATAAGAAAATCTTAGGTCCATTCTGCGACTTTTTGTACCATTTTGGAGTGGGGGTAAAATTTCCTGGAATAAGCTCCACCCTTTTCCAGAGCCCGTGTCTTTCATCGATAGCTGGTTAGTCGCCGCTGTTTCAGCCTATATACAGCTATACAGATCTATATGCAGCTAGACAGGTCTAGAGACAGATCTGTATATAGCTAGACAGGTCTCCACGAACCTACATTAAGTAGAGGCAGAGGTGATACTACCACGTGGCGCGTCCCCAGGTTGCGGATAGGGGAAGCCCAATGTCCGTTCTCGAGCAGAGGGTAGCAGTGAAATAAAATAACTCACGCGGACATAAACACCCCCAAATGTGAAGGTGTCAAGATACCGTGCCGATGAACTGGATGGCGTCGGGGAAAAGGACGTCGCAATCGGTTCCTTGGGGTACCAGGTCCCTCCCCAGGTGTAATTTGGTGGCCTTACTCTAGCAACTGGAGCTCTGCCGGAGTGGACAATTATTTCCCTAGGTACTCGTGGGAACAGAATGGAGAATTTAAATTTGGAAAAAAACAGAGATCATCATACCCAAAAAGCAGCACTGGAAGGAAGTACTGATATGAAGAGGACGTAAGCGTGGGATCGTCTCGAAAAACTTATCAACGAGCTTCACGAGTTTGTGCGACCGAAAGCAAACATCCACAAAGAGATCAAAACCAGGGTGGCTAGTTTTGGTAGTGCCTACATGAGACTAAAATCTCTGTAGGACATCAACTTCCTACTCTCGTGGCCCCAGAAGTTGTGCGCACGGCACAAACGCCGCGCAGTCGGACACTTACCAAAACGACGGCCAAGGACACGGAGCTCGACGATGGAAATTAATCTGTCACCGGTGACGCTCGCGTGACTCGCAAGGCGAAACGGAAAAAACGGGCGTCACCAGGACTCGAGGCCAAAGAGCCTAAGAACATGAAGGAGGCAGGACCACCTCCATCCTCTAAGAGAGCAGTCCAGCCTCTGGAAACTTCGGGTTGGCAGCAGGTGATGACCAAGAATCTCAGAAACAGCGCTCACAGCAGCACGGACAGAAGAGGTCGCCGGTGACTAGACCCAATACACTAATCGTCCGGCCTAAGGATAAAGGAAAATATGCAGAGTCGGGTAAAGAAGGACGTTCCCGATGATCGGGTTCGTGCCTCGGTTGACAAGCTCCGCAAGACGACCACGGGAGATCTATTGATCATCCTCACTAAGGAGAACGCAGACAGAAGTCATGGTCTTCAAAAAACCATAGCTGCCCTCCTTGGGGATGGGCAGGTCATTACTAAAGGGTTGCAAGAGAACCTCGAAATTCGAGATCTCGACAAATTGACAACATCCCATCCTCGAAGCCCTGCAGAAAGCGGCGGGAGATACGTGCGATATTACACTGGATGCCATCAAATCACTACGTAAAGCCTATGGGGGGACCCAGACTGCCTCGGTGACTTTGGCAAAATCAATCGTGAAGAAGGTGCTGGGCGATCACGGCAAGATCAAGATTTGATGGGTCAACTGCCGGATAAGAACAGCGAAGAGACCCACCAAGTGCTACAAGTGCTGGCACTATGGATATCTCGCCGCTACGTGTAAGAGCAAAGTTAACCGGTCCAGTTTGTGTAATAAGTGTGGAGAAGATGGCTACAAAGTTGCTGCATGCCAAATAGACGCTTGCTGCGCCTTGTGCGTCGAGAAGGGCAACACAATGAATTGCGCCATCACTGGTAGCAGCAGATGCCCAGTGTTCATAGAGGCACTTCAGAAGGTGAGAAATAAACGAGAATGAAGATACTCCAGCTCAACCTCAACCCTTGTGAGGCTGCGCATGATCTGCTTATGCAGAGGGTTCGCGAACTAATGCCCGATCTTGCGTTGATCTCGGAGCCATATAGAAATCTTGACACACCATCCTGGGAGACGGATGCTAAGGCCGTTATTTGGTCCTGCAAAGGGTTCCCGTTCCAGAGCGTTAACAATGGTGAAAAGGCTGGTTTTGTAGTATCTAAGCTGAATGGAATTTATTTCTACAGCTGCTATGCCCCACCCAGCCTCTCACTAGATGAATTCACGGACTTCTCAGATCGTCTGACCGAGGATGCGAAGCAATGCTTTCCCGTGGCAATCGCCGTGGACTTCAATTCCTGGGCGGTGGATTGGGGAAGCAAAGAGACCAACGTGCGGGGACAAACACTACTAGAGGCAATATCTCCTCTGAACATGGTGCTGCTGAACAGTGGTAGTGAGCCCACGTTTACAAGAGGTGAGGCAAGTTCTGTTGTGGACCTCACCTTCGTAAGCAATAGTCTCGCCAGAGGAAACTGCTCTTGGGATGTGATGGATATGTACACTGCCAGTGATCATCGCGCAGTAGTCTGGGATATATCCACTGGTAGAAAGACGAGACCAACAAACCAAAAGACAAACGTCGGCTAGAAAGTGGGCACCTCCGATCCCGGCTCATTCCTACTAGCACCTGATGATCATCCGATCAGTGGCAGTGGAGCTGCCGAGAAAGCCGAGAACATCATGAGGAGGGTAGCCGAGGCCTGTGATGCATCTATGCCCCGGAAATGCCGTGGAAACCGTCTGCCATTGGCGTATTGGTGAAGTGATGAGATCGCCGCTCTCCGAGAGGACTGTGTGAGAGCGAGAAGAACATCACAGCCAGACTTCGGTAAATTGGAGGCAAAATACAAAGATGCGCGTAGGTGACTTAACAATCAAGCCATCAAATCCAACAAGCAGAAACGCTGAAGTGAGCTGCTAGACGAAGTCGACTGTAATCCGTGGGGCAGGCCGTACAAGGTGGTCATGACGCGGCTTAAAAACCAGCCAGTGCCACCGCCAACGTGTCCCAAACTCTTAGAGAAGATCGTCTCGGTACTGT